GGGACCACCATGTTAGATATCCACGTTGGAAGTTTGGACACGTGAAAACACGTGGTTCCAGTTCGGGATTACCATGTGAGGTACCCTTCTGGGTGGGCGGGAAGCGTGCAGACACGTAGTTTCAGCTCGGGACAACCATATCACTCCCCACATGGTTCGTGGGGTTCTGGCTTTCTTCCCCGCCGCGTCGCGCCCGCGTTTCTTCTCTCTTCTCCTCCTCCCCATCCTTTTGCTTCTCCGTCTCGCTCGCACTTACGTGGCAGGCGTGCCACGTTCTCCTCGCTTCCCTTTTACCTCTCCGCCTCGCTCGCGTTTACAAAGCCGCCGTGGCAGACGTGGCCCCACACGCATCACACACGTACACATGAAGTGCCGTACGTCGCATGGTCTAACAGGCGTGACACTTTGTCAACCCCAGGGAGGGTGCGCAGGGGGTAATCTCTCACCGCGGTCTCTATACGCGCCAATGTCGCAGGGCCGAGCAGGCGTGGCACTTTCTCGACACCAGAGCGCGTGCGCGGGGGGTGGTCCCTGAGCGCGGTCTCTATATGCTCCAGGCTCGCAGGGCGCGGCAGGCGTGGCACTTTCTCCACACCATAGGGGGTGCGATGGGGGTGGGGGCGCTACGCGTTGCAGGTTCGCAAGGCATGGCAGGCGTGGCATTTCCTCGACGTCACAGGGCATGGTAGGCGTGCCATTTCCTCGATGCCACAGGGGGTGCGCTCGGGGTGGGGGCGATATGCGCTGCAGGCTCGCAAGGCATGGCAGGCGTGGCGTTTTCTCGGCGCCACTCGGGGTGCGCTGGGGGTGGGGGCGCTATGCGTTACATCCTCCCACATGGGCAGGCTCGCAGAGCATGGCATTTCATCGATGCCACAGGGGGTGCGCTGGGGGTGGGGGCGCTATGCGTTGTAGGCTCGCAGGGCATGGCAGGCGTGGCATTTCATCGACGCCACAGGGGGTGCGATGGGGGTGGAGGCGCTATCCACCCTGGTCGTCCACGGCACAGCAGGCGTGGCATTTCCTTGACCACCTAGCATCACCCACGTATGTTGCACGCCAGCTATGCTAAGAATAGAGTTAAAACGAAGTATGTGGGGGTCCTCGGTAGCGCCATATACCGCTCTGGGTGGCTTGGACACGTAAAAAAAACCATGGTTCCAGCTCGGGGCCACCATGTTAGATATCCCGGGGGGGAAGCAGAAAGTCACCCGCCGAAGACATTGTAAAGTTATTGTGCAACTGGTGCCAGTTTATTGATTTGGTCTGGCTCTTGTGGGCCCCCACGCTGGGGGTCCACCGACGTCCACGTGTTAGATACCTGGGTGGCCCGCACACGAAAAAACATGTTGCTCCAGCTCGGGGGCACCATGTTGGATACCCTTCTAGGCCCCACTGGGTGGCCTGGACACGTGAAAACATGTCCCATCTGGGGACAACAATGTTAGATGCCTTCCTAAGCGACCCAGGCACGTGAAAATAAGCATTTCGCCTGAGACATCTTTCGATTGAATTCTCTTCCCCAGGTGAGGAGCACACTATAAAACGAAAACAAGCGTTTCTCTCGAGACGTCCTGAACCCATTCTGCAGAAGAAAGTGTTTCGCTCCAGACATCCGCAACAATCGAACATGTTCACATTACCTGCGATTTATCGATTGGAATTTCTAACGGCAGCGTTTCGCTTTCGAACTCCCCAAAATTTAATCCGCCGGCCCTCTTCGACTTTGTTGCTTACGCACATGAATCCGCCGACCCTCTTCGAACTTGGCACCGGGGACGCGCTTTCCAACTAATTGAGAGCCCTGGGCACAAGCCCTTTCCTGGAAAAAGTCCCTCATGGACTCCCAAAGTAGAGTCTGACAGGGGCCCCCGGACGGCCCTGGCCAGCCCCGAGAGAGCCCCGAGAGTGCAGAACAGCTCCAAAGGAGCACCGGACAGACCAGCCCAAGGGCGCCCCCAAGGGGCCCCGATCGGACGGGGCGAGGACAAGTGGCACGCGTGCCCTGGCTCTTGCACAAAGGAGCTGCGGGGGACTGGGAAGCCTGGACGGAGGAAGGCTGGACGGAGGAAGGCTCTCAAGGGTGGGTGGCTCAGGGGAGCTGGGGCTCAGGCTCGGGGGAGGGGCCGAGGGCCGAGGGGGACGAACCACCACGAGCCACGAACCACGACGAAAGTAACGGGTTCCGCGGCCCAGGGGGGCTGTCCTGGGAAGCCTGGACGGCGGGGGGGTCACAAGGGTGGGTGGCCCAGTGGAGCTGGGGCTCAGGCTCAGGGGAGGGGCCGAGGGGGACGAACCACGACGAACCACGAACCACGACGAAAATAAGGATGTCCGCGGCCCAGGGGGGCTGTCCTGGGAAGCCTGGACGGAGCAAGCATCCGAAGGGTGGGTGGCCCAGGGGAGCTGGGGCGCAGGCTCAGGGGAGGGGCCGAGGGGGACGAACCACCACGAACCACGAACCACGACGAAAATAAAGATGTCCGAGCTCTAGAGCACAGCTGTGCAAGAGAACGAGAATAAATCGGGTCCAGAGCGTTCCAGAACGCTCTCAGAGCGTTCCGGATCTCTCCGAAAAGGCCGCGGCACCCGAGACATCCTCCACATCCGCCTGATCTCAGAGATTCTCGATGTTTCCATAGACTTGATGCTCGTCCTGGCTTCGCCTTTCCCCAGAGATTTGAATAATCTTTCAGGACAGCTCACAGAGGACCCAAAGACAGCAGAGAGCCTCGGAGTGGCGACGCAGGCCGCGCGCGGCAGCCCCGCGTTGCGCGCGAGGGCGACGTTGAGTCGGCCGTGGCCGTCTCGATCCTGCGCCGGTTGTCGCTGCTGGACGTGCTCGGAGACGACTCGCTCGAAGGGAGCGTACGCCGCCCAGCGGCCTCGGTCTGGTCGGTGTACAGCCAGGGCATCACACAAAAATAGCTGCAATCACTAAACAAGGTCTGCCGCCATCTAAGCTCGAGAATAGTAAACCTTCCCTGGGGCGAAGAATGAAACAAAAACTTCGGCGGCCCAGGATCGGCCGACGACGTCGACGACCGACGACGACGACGAGAATCCCCAGGGGGGAAGATTGATAGAAAACGTTTGCCGCCGGGAGCGCTGCTCCCCGCCCCAGGAGAGGCCGGGGGAGGGGCCCCCCTTCCTTATTCCTTGGCTCACGCTAGCTTGTGCGCTTCGGATGACGGCAGTTCTGTTTAGTGGAAGGGGTCGGGGGAGGCGCTCCTAAGCACATCACCGAGCCAGTCGGCCACGCGCACAAGGGGGGTAGGGGAAGGGGGGAAAGCTTCTGAAAAGCACTCCTGCTTCTTACAAGGCGTGGGCCTTGCCTGTAGATGCAGGGCCGGCGCCTTCTAAGAAGACGCCTCCTTCTAAGAAGCCTTCCCCCCTCCTGCCCCCTTGGGCGCGCCGCCAATCCATGTCCCATCGAACCCAGTCCTCCCATGTGCCCGACTCCGAGGGTGGACATACCCGGCGGCGGCACCGGCGGGCCAGGCCCGGCAGGCGTTTTTTTGTGTTCGGGGGCGTCCTAAAGACGGGCTGGGGCCCAGACATCTCCTCCTCCTCCTCCTCCGCCTCCTCCTCCCCCTCCTCCGCCTCCTCCTCCGCCTCCTCCTAAAACATGATCGACCAACGAACCCGGAAAGGGATTGAGAACTGCGAGGCATGGAGCCGTCTGTAAGGTCCTCAATTGCAGATGCAAATGGGCGATGCCAGGGGCGCATGCCAGGGGCACGCACCACGGAGCGTCCTAAGGGGAGCGCCAGGGGACGTGCCAGGGGACGTGCCAGGGGACGTGCCAGAGGACGTGCCACGGGGACGCACCGCGGGACGTGCCCAGGGGGCGCGCTACGGAACGTGCCAATGAGCGTGCCACGGGATGCGCCACGGGGAGCATATCATTCTGCTCCTTGAAATTCCTGCGCGCGGGACGCGCCATCCTCGAGCGGGCACGCAACACAGCATTTTTGTATGTAATGTTAGGTCTCTATGGTCTTACGCAAAACGCTTCGCACCCCGTCTTTCACAAGGGAAAAAGTGTGTCTGCGGACCCCCTTAGATATGGGGGCACATGTTCCTCGAGCAGACACGCGCGAAACGCATTTGAAAAGAAACATTCGATTTGATGTGTTGTGACTTATTGCAGATAACCCCGCCGGCCCTCTTCAAATCGAAACCCGTGGTGAAACTACAGCAAGAGAGCCCTGGACTTGTGCCTATTCTGGGAACAAGGCGGTTGTTAGTCGTTATCGATCTCTGGGAGCCCTCGCTGGGCCTGGGGACCGTGAGCAAAAACATAAACATCTCGTTCGTGATGAAGAGCTGGCCTGGGGGAAAGGGTCGGGACTCCCGGGGGCCCCGCACTGAACAACAACCAAGGTGTGTGTGTGTGGGCATCACGGCAGGGGCCATGGGATCTCCCAGACGTCATGGCGCCCCTCCTTCTTTTAGTACGTCCCCTTTGCCCCCCCCCCCCCGCCGCCCGTCCGCGCACACGCTTCGGGTCATGATACCCTCCCTTTGCCAGGCCCCCTTCCGCGGCGCACTCGATTGGGAAGGCCTAGCGGCCGGTGCCGCCGACCCTGAAGGGGGACGGCGACGACGACGACGACGACGACGACGACGACGACGACGACGACGACGACCTGGTCGCCCCTGGGGCTCTTTGCGTGCGGCCCGCGGCCCTTGCGAGCTGGAGGGCTCCCCAGGGCCGTGGGACATCTGGGCCACACGCCAGTGCGCGAGGGCACTCTCCTCCTCCCTCCTCCTCCTCCCTCCTCCTCCTCCTCCTCCTCCTCCTCCTCCTCCTCCTCCTCCTCCTCCTCCTCCACTCCTCCACGCCTTTCCCCCGTGCCTCGGAAGCGGCGATAAGGAGCAAGTGGCCCCGGGGGGGGAGCAGCACGTGTAGCCAGGGGCGCCGAGGGGAATGCCCGACCCTGGGCTGCTCGCCCCCCCGTTGTCGTCGCCGCCGCTTTCCCCCCTCCGTCAGCCAGGCGCACCTCCTGCTCCCGGCGGGTGCGGACGCCGAGCCGGCGGGCCAGCGGCTGACGGACGAGGAGGGGCCGGGGCTGGGCGAGGGGCCCCCCCCCCCCTTGTCGGCGTCATCCTCCCTTCTGCGCGGCCGTCCCCCCCTGTCTGCCACCCTTGTCCTCCTCCCCCCCTCCCTCCCTGCTCCTCGTCCCGCCTCCCACTGCTTTGCCTCCTCCCTCTCTTACTCCCCGTCTCCGTGTGTTCCGTCCTCCTCCTCCTCCTCCTCCTCCTCCTCCTTCACCTGCCTTCTGGCACGTCGATGACGCCGTAATCGCGACCGCCAAGGTGCAGCCTATGTTTTGCAACATCCATTGGTTCCATTGGCTTGGTACACAACGGTGTTGAAATGCGTGGGGCACGAATGTACCCGCCATGACCTCAACATGCGCGCACAGGGACGCACGCGAGACGCCCGTATGGAATGAATTGACCAGCTCGGCGGGTGCGCGATGAATCTTGGATGACTTCGATATGACGCCAGTGGCACCATGTGACAGGATGCCAAGCCAGCACATGTGAATATGATGCCTTCAGCATCTGTGCTCGCAGAAATTCCAGGACCAGATATGTAGAAGTGTTAGCTTTCATACTAAGTTGAAGAGCTCCGTCTTTTTAAATAAAAAAACGTTTGGGGCAGGTATTGCTTTGATGATTTTGCCATGCGCGCGCGCAGGCGTGCGCGTGTGGCCCCGCACGGCATCATCATCATTGTTGGTATTATTGCAGCGCGCATTCGCTATATCAATGCGCTTTTGCACCGCATGACATTACTTGACATGGCTTGGGGACGATTTGGGTATCGGGACTGCCTGGGATGCTATGAGCTCAAGTTGTCTTGTCTCCTCGTTTTGTCGCCTCCCCTCTCGTTTCCTGTCCTCCCGATGTGTCGTTTCTGCGCTTTGGGCTCGTCGTCGTTTCCCCCTCGGCCTCGTCGTCCTCCCCCTCGCTCCCCTCTTTTTCCCCTTTGGCAGAGATCGGCCAGCGGACCTTCACGCAATTTACACTCACAGCGTTTCTCCATCGATCGATGTCTCAGCGGGTGGGAATAAGCCGTTTCTGAGTTGAAAAGAATACAGTGCAAGTTCGAAAGTGTAACACGCGGAGGAGGGGGATAAACTTGGCAGCGACATGGGGTGAACGTCCACGATCTCTTTGGGAAAGGAACCCGTTGTTGCTCGCAATCCATGCCATGCCGACCCACCATACAGTCACGACGCTGACACAAGGGCCACTTTGGGATTAGGAAGGGCTCTGGTCATAGGACCGTTCCTTAAATCTAGGTCGGGGAACCTCCTCGTGGCCGAGGCTCGCCGTGGCCAGACGGGCCCTTCCGTCCCATATTCAGCATCCCTGATGTTAGTAGCACGATGACCGCAGAGCACCAACCATCGAGCACCAACTCGTAGGGCGCCAGCGCGCCAGCGGCCGACTTGCCACCCACCATGGGCACTCGTGTGGCGCCAGCCCCGAGGGCACCAGCGCGCGAGCGGCCGACTGCGAGACTCGGGCGGGTGGTAATGGGGGGTGATCTAAATGGGGGGGGGCGAAGCAAAGGTCCCTAGAGGGGCCCTTTAGGGCCACATGCTTTCTGTGCCAGCAGGGGCCCATAACGGGCCCCAAAGGATAACCATGCTATGACATGCCGCATTATGCTATGTTGTGCTAGACCATGGTAAGTTGTGATTTCGTTTGCTATGCTATGCTAGTTGTTGATGTGATCTTCTAGGTTATTTTATGATATAGGGGGGGAGCATGCGGCTGTACTATTTCACGTTGGGGAAAATGCGGCTGAATTGACGCAGCCCCGTCCGCGGGCAGAGAGAGACACGGCACAGCAGCCGAAACGGACAATGCGGGAATTGACAGTAGGCGTTGCAACGCTTGTGCACGTACGTTGCCAGCAGTATCCTCACCTTCCTGTTTCCCGTCGTCGCGATGGCTCGAAAGCGCTGCGCAGGCGAGGCTACCCACGGGCTCACGCAGAACCCCGTGCGAGCTGGCCTTTTTGGTCATGAAGCGTTTCGGCGCTTCAGCGCTAGAAGAAAGCATCCTCCTCCTCCTCCTCCTCCTCCTCCTCCTCCGTCTCCTCCTCCTCCTCCGTCTCCTCCTGCTCCGTCTCCTCCTCCTTCTCCTCCTCCTCCTCCTCCTCCTCCTCCTCCTCCTCCTCCTCCTCCTCCTCCCTCCTCCCTCCTTCCTCATCCTTCCTCCCTCCTTCCTCCTCCCTCCTCCTCCTGCCTCCTTCCTCCTCCCTCCTCCCTCCTCCCTCCTTCCTCCTCCCTCCTCCCTCCTCCTCCTCCTCCTCCTCCTCCTCCTCCTCCTCCTCCTCCTCCTCCTCCTCCTCCTCCTCCTCCTCCTCCTCCTCCCTCCTCCTGGTTGTTACGGATGGGTGGGGAGGGGTTCGATCATGCATTTGGGGCACGGTCCCCTCGTCCGAGGCGCCGCTCCAGGCGGCCCGGGATGGCGAGGATTACGCGGTCCTCCAGCTGGTGTTGAACGCGGTTCTCTTCCCAGGCTGCCAGCTCCATATAGATTGCGCGGGCACCGTTGATTGCGCCCGAGACCCTAGGTCCGCAGTCGGACCCGACAATCCACGGGCCCATTGGTGGGCCCAAGTTTTTGATAAGCTCGACGGGGTCTCCATTGTCAAAGTCCCTGCCCATTGCTAGGAAGATGATGTCCTTAATGGCAAGCTTACCCTTTGCCAGTGGCTCGGCAACCGCGCGGCGGACGAGTTCGCCCGCCGGGGGGCTGAACTGAACAGGTGTGCTGCCGCCGACCGTCTTGTAATTCTTGGCTGTCACGAGATTGCCAGGCAGGCTGCTCGATTCGGAGCCCGGCAGGAGGCCCGGATAGCTGATAGCCAAGTTTTTGACAATGTTCCCCTCGACTTTCTAAAGCATGTTGAGCTCGGGCCCTTCCTCCCCGTCGGGGCCCTGGACGAGCTTGCCGAGCTCCGTGCTAAAGATGAGGGTGGTGGATCGTCGCGGTCGTCCATTGTCGTGTGTGGGGCGGGGGAGGATGACGATCGCGAGGGGGCGCCGGCAGGCGCGGTGCTGGGACCCGCCTTGCTAGGCGCCCCTCCGCCGCCTAGCGAAGAGGCGTGGGGCCTGCTCAGGCCCTGGCGTGCCCGCGGCCACGTCTGCCTGGAGGCCCCGGTGACCGGACCGGATGGGTCCCCTCAGGGATCCATAGTTTTCTGCACGAGTTGCGGCTCGGTCGGCCGCCCAGGGCCGTCCTGGGGCAGGAGTGCTCTGGTGTCGAATTGCCTTGATACGCGCACTGAAGGTCGCGATAGGCAATTGGCTTGGATTTTGCGTGGCAAACACCCGTCCCGAAAGAACGGGCGTGTGGGGGCGGCCGCTGCCCTCTCTGATGCTTCTCGGGAGTTCTTGGCCGTGAAGCTCGGTCTTGATGGCGCACCTCCCCTTGGACCCCCTCCCAGCACTGTTCACGGGTGCGGGGTCGACCTCGTTAGGGGGCTCGCCCTTTTTGGATTCCCCTCCCGCGCCGAGGTAGAGAGCCTCGGGCAGCGGGTCCTTGATAGGAGGAAACGCGAGGCGATCGCCCCCGAACTTGGAGAGTTCGGCGAGGATTAACTCGTTTGCTTGTTTTTGCATGCCGAATTGGATGGCCTCCTCGGCTGGCTGTGGTGCTCCCTCCTCCCTTCTCCTCCTCCTCCTCCTTCTCCTTCTTCCTTCTTCTTCCTCATCCTCCTCCTCCGCTTCCTTGGGTTCGGAGTTTCCGGGGCCTGCCTTTGCAGCGCCAGCCCCGAGAGCACGGGCGCGCCAGCGGCCGTCCGCGAGGCACCCAGGGGCAGGGCCACCGGCCGGTAGGGCACCGACAGGCAGGGCTTCAGCGCCCGAGCGATCGCGGCAGACAGTGCACCACTCCAGCAGCGACGGGGCGTTTGCCCTGGCTGTGGCCCCGCCCCGTAGTCAAGGGAGGAAAAATCACCCCGACCCCGATCATTGTGCTTAACGGCCCTGGGCGTGCACGAAACTGCCCTGCCCTGTTCGATTCCCTCCTTGGGTGCGTGTACCGAAGGGCTTCGCTTGTCGGGGTGTGTACTGTGAGGGTTGATTTTCTGTTCTCTCTACGAATGTTGTGAGAACTGCCTGTGGTGTTTGTATCGAGCGTTATTCGAGTGTCTCTTGGCATCGCTCGGACGTGTGCCTTCCTTTCGTCGGCATGCGGACCATCGAGAAGTGCACCGGGAATGGATGTCCGAGCGATGGCAAGTTCTGGCTGGGACAGTTTTGTTCAAGGCTTCGGCTCTATGCTCGGAAAACAGGTGTTATCATTTGAGCGATGTCCGTTCCAAGAACACGTCGTGGTAGCCCTATAGGGACACCAGGGCGGTCGGCCCCTGCTCCAACCATAGAGCGCCAACTCCTTAGGGCACGCGCAACGGCCAAGACCTGAGCGGGGAACCATGAATCACATGCGTACAAGCAAGAAACTCCCGAGCAATTGCAGGCTGGCGGGCTGATAGGCTCCGCGCGGGGTTTCTCGTTTGTTCCGAGGTCGTATCTCAAGGCATACTTGTCCATCTCCCCGCTTCCGCCGAATCTACAGCCAGAATGCACCGACAGAGAATGTTAGTTAATTGGTTGTCGTGTGAGCGCATGTGCCAGCGAAGCGGGAAACCAAAATGAAAAGAGAGAGATAGGGATAGACCATGAGAGAGAAAGAGAGAGAGAGAGAGAGCGAGCGAACAAGAAAGAGAGACAGAGAGAGAAGGAGAGAAGGCACCGAGAGATAGGAATGAGATAATTAATGAGGTATCTTTATATATATATATATAAATGTATATATATATAAATAGAGAGAGTGTGCGTGAGGGAGGATACTTTGAAGAGAGAGGGTGGGGCATGAGAGCAAAGTCTGGCGTTTGGGCCCTGGTTGAGAAGGAAGCGAAGTTCTGGATGTTTCGCGTATCCCCACGAGCCCATTCAGAAACGACCTCAGGCGAGTTGCCCTGATCAGGGAAGTGTGGAAGCAGACGTTCCAGGAGTGAGCCACTTGTATGTG